GCCACTCGGCCGGCCCACATTTCATGCTTTCTTGATAAAAGTTTATTCTTGTATCCCAAAAGTTTATTCTATGATGGAGATCTTCAGCTTTGGCAGAATATTGTTTTTAACACTCAACTATTGTGCATTTGGTCAAAATGTGTATTTGTTGCTCATCTACTTGGAACGTGTTATTTGCCAAACTCTGGTTTGAATACTGAGTATAAAGAGAGAAAAAGAAAGGCACCTGGTAAGCTCAGGTGGTTGGAGTGCAGGCCCATAACACCAAGGTTGCCTGTTCGATTCCCATACAGGCCAAGGAGCTGCGCCCTCCACAACTAGATTGAAGACAACTACTTGACTTGGATCTGATGGCTCGTGGAAAAACACACTGTTCCCCAATAAAATTTCTTCTAAAAAAAGGAGAAGAAATTGTTTCTATCTTCAAAGAATTTTTCTTGTGGTGGAGAAGAATAGAGAGAGATAAGTATGTATATTATTAGAGCATAGTGGAATATACGTTATGAAAGCATAAGTGGAATAGCATAGTGGAATATGGGATTCCTGTTTTGGGAGGTTCTGTGACAAGACCTGCTTGTCAACCAGGGTTGCACGAGTGGCTTGGGTGGGAGATTAGAAAAGAAAGACACAGAGACAAAAGCTGGGATCCGGAGGTCCACTGATTGCTGATGGTGGAGCAATGGCCCAGTTTGTTTTTTACACCAAGCTTATATAGAGGGAGCAACTCCCTCTTTGCCAGGAGCAGTTCCCTTTTAGTAAAGGAGGGTATGGGGAAACAATTTCCTCTTAGCAAAGGTTATGTTTAGCAAATTCAACGGTTTGCAGGATCACATCCCGTTATGTAGTCTGCGGTTTTAGTTGCCTTCAGCCTGTTGCTTCAGCTGCTCTTTGTTCTCCAACGGTACAGTGGGGGGTGAAACGTTCCCCGAGCTACTCATCCAGACATGAAGGCTTGCCAGCCTGCCAGCTTGCAGCTTTGTGGTCCCTGACTGCTCACAGTCGGCTCCCCACAGTTCTGGACCCGGGGCTTTGGGGGCTCAGTAACTGCCTAAAAGATAATCAGATGGTAAATATTTAGTCCCACTAACCAGAGCTGCTTCGTGGAAGAAGTCACATCTAAACTAAATCCTAAGAAAGAATCAGAGCCGGCCAGTTAAATCAGAGCTGGTAGCTTTAAGGGTAAAGAGGCAAGACGGACTGGACAAAGGAAGGGCTAGTTCCAGGCCAAGGGTCAAAATATGTGCAAAACTCCTGGGAGGAAAGAAAGAATATGATCCCTTCTAAATCTGGAAGCGTGCAAGCTCCTATACGTACGTATTTTCAGTTACAAATAATGTGGTAGCCAGCTCCCAAGATGGCCGCCAGTGATCCTCAGTTGTTAGTATTCATGCCCTTGTGTAGTCGCCTCCAATTCTAAATAGGAGCAACCTGTGTAACCAATAGGATAATGTGGAAACTCTGGTGATGAGTTCTGAGGTCACGTCATAAAAGACACTGTCACTTCTGCCTTGCTCTCTTTGGGGTCATTTGATCTGGGAGAAGCCAGCTGCTATGTCATGATGACACCCAAGCAGCCCTGTGGTGGGATCAGTGTGGCCAGGAACTGAGGCCTCTTGCCAATAGCCATTTGAGTGAGCCTTCTTGGAAACAGATCTCCCAGTTGCAGTTGACTGGAGTCTAGGCCAATAACTTGACTATATTCTCTTGAGACCTTGAGCCAGAACCACCCAAATAAGCCATTCCAGGCTCCTGGTACACAGAAAGGGTATGAGATAACAAATGCTTATTGTTTTAAGTTGCTAAATTTTGGGGAGTAATTTCTTTTTTTTGTTTTTTTTTAAGATTTTACTGGGGAATTGGGGGAGGGGAACAGTGCTGGGGAATCGGGGGAAGGGGAACAGACACGTTGCTGCCCTTTTGTTCTTCAGTCTAGTTGTGGAGGACGTCGCTTCACTGGTCCATGTTGGTATTATCATTGCCCTCTTCCCGGGTGAGGCAGATTGGTAGCCAGCCTCTGGACGATGGCAGCTCACACCGGCTACTGGCCGCTCACGCTGGGTGGCAGCCACACATGGTAGCTTATGGCAACCCACTGCCACAGGGGCTGCAGCCTACACCATCGCTGGTGACTCACGGCAGCCCAGCTCCAGGTNTCTGTAAAATCTTTAGGTTTCTGCATATAAGATCATGTCATCTGTGAAAAGAGATAATTTTTCTTCTTCCTTTACAATTTGCCTAGTTACTCTAGCTAGAACTTCCAGGGCTACTTTGACTAGAAGTGGTAAGGAATAGACATCTTCGTCTTCTTCCTGATCTCACAGAACTTGTTGTGTTGTAGGGAAGACAAACAATTAAACAGATAATTATTATTTTTGTGATAGGAAGTTCAAGGTGTTCTGTAAGCCTCTTGCTGGGGGGCACCTAGCTCAGCCCAGAGGTTGGTGGGTAGGGAAGAAGGTCCCCAAAGAAATAATATCTAAACTAAGAGTAATGATAATTGACTAGAAGTGAGTCAGGGGGGTAGTAGGAGGAGAGAGAGAGAGGTAAAGTGAGGCCTGCTGGAGAGAGAGCGTTGGTTTAGCAGCTGTCTTAAGGGAGCAGTGGGAGATGGGCTGGGAAGAGAAGGGAGGTTCCATTCTGCAGGATCTTCAACGCATGGCTATTTTAAAGGCAATGAGGAGCCATTGCAGGTGCTTGAGCATTGACGTGACAAGATCAAATCTGTGCTTTAAGGAGGTTTATCCTGCTACAATGTGGAGAATGGATTGGCGTGGGCGAGACTGGGGGCTGGGAGAACAATTTAGAGTCTATTGCAAGAAGGAACAGGAGCATCTGTGTATCTGTTAGTTTTAAAATGCCTTTTGTAAATAATCCTCTAATTGTCAAGTTTTGTTCTTTTTCCCTTTTTTAAGCAGTTATTTGTGGGTGTGCAGTAACCCGACAAAAATGTCTCCAGGAATCGTCTCAGGCCCACTGGGTGGGGGCATACAGCAGGGGCATTGTCTCAGCTCTGTAGCCCTTTGTCCAAAGACACCCATTCCCTGCACAGAAACTTTCCTGACAAAGAAGCAGACTGCTGTGGTTCAGCAGATACTGTCCTGGACTCTGACTGCCTGCCCACGTTTGGGAGAAGTAGGTAGAAACAACACTGACCTTCAGGTCTCTAGTGATATGAAACCCTCTGTCTTATGACAGCCAGGTATTAGCAAAGAGGTTCCTTTCCNCTGCCTCACCCGGGAAGAGCGCAAAGATGGTACCAACTTGGGCCAGTGAAGCGACGTCCTCCACAACTAGAATGAAGAACAAAAGGACAGCAACTTGTCTGTTCCCCTTCCCCCAATTCCCCAGCACTGTTCCCATCCCCCCAATTCCCCAATTTAAAAAAAAAAGGTAAACAAATACTAGGTGATAAGTGCTATGGAGAAAAACAGATTAAGAGGCATCAGGAGTATAGCGAGAATATGTGAGCAATTTCCAATGGGGCAGCCAAGGTAGGCCTCATTGAGCAGGTAAGATTTGAATAAAAACTTGAAATTTGCCAAATAGATATCTGGGGGTAGAGCATTCTAGGCAGAATGACCAGCACAAAGGTTTTGAGAAAAAAGCAAGCAGTGAACAGTGGTAGGGTACCAGGAGATGAAATCAAAGAAGAAATAAAGGGATATCAGGTAGGATAATTTTGGTTTGAGCTGAGAAGAGCTATTAGAAGGTTTTGGCTTAAGAGTGACATTTCTGAGGGTTTTTTTTAATAGCATCACTCTGACGCATTTAGAGATGCTGAGTGGCAAAGGGATCAGATAAGAGGCCAGTGCAGCAGCTCAGGCAAAAGATGATGGTGCCTTGAACCAGGATTTTAGCAGAGTGAGTTTCTTGATGGTTTGCAAGTGGGATGTAAGAGAAAGAGGAGTCAAGAATAACAAGGCTGTGTCCTAAAGAAAAGAGATTGCCATCAACTGAGGCAGGGAAGACTTTGGAAGGAGCAGGTGGGTTGGGGGTGGAGGGAAGGAGAGGAGAGAAATCTGTTCATTTCCTCGTCATGTTGAGTTTGTAATATCTATCCAAGTGGAAACGTCAAGCAGGAAGTTGCCTATACAAATTTGAATTTCGGGAGAGAAATCAGAGCTCGAGATAAATGGAAGTCGTCAGCATACAGTTGGTTTTTAAAGCCACAAGAGTAAACAAATCTAGTTTCAGGTGTGACAAGTGTGAGGAAAAAGCAGGAAAATGAGGCGAATGTGTGTGCTGGGGGCCCTTTACAGAAATGGCCAGAGAAGGGGCACGTGCTTTCCCCCAGAGAAAGAGAAAGCGCTTGGTGGAATTCTGGCAAAAATGCATCCATCCAATGTTGGATGCCTTCTCAGCAAGCGCAGGGCACTGAGGAGGCCGAGATGGACAAGCGACAGAGAGGCTCCGAGGTAGCGGATGGCCTGGAGGCCTGTTGCTTCCTGGACTGAGCCCCTGCTGGACACGCAGCCCGAGGGCCACGGCTCTATATCAGCTTCCTGCCCGTAAGCGTGGTTCCCTGGCAGCCGAAACCGAAACTCATCTAATGGACTTTTCCAGCTTCTTCCAAAAACCAGTGAGCTGTGTGGAGACAGAGGAAAACCCGTGAAACTGGGCCAGACGCAGATTTCATTCATATCACAGAGCTCGACTACTTTTTTAGAGCTTATCTTAATAACTGGTAAATTCGCAAAACCAATACAATGACAACTTTTATAACGACAGGGGAGGCCGCAGGCTTCTCTTCTGCCCACGGGCCGCTTAACTAGCGTCACTCTGATGTAACAGCCTTTTTCTTCGATCGCTCCCAGGAGCCCGCAGGGCGGGAGGCCTCCCCCACTACGGGTCGAAGGATGGGTCAAGTCACACACAGAGCTAACAAGCCTGATCACGCGCCACAATAGATTCGCAGGGTGGGGTGAGCCACCCTCTCTTTCTTGCTCCCATTGGCTGCGATAGCGAGGCTCTTCTCCCCGACTGGCTACCTGTGAGCCTCGAGGCAGCAGCCCGCCTCCTGGGTGCGCGTGCGCACGCGTAGCGGGCGCTCCCCGCACTGAGCAGGCGCCGCCTCGTGTCGGCCTGGGTGCGAGTAGAGCGGCGCGCGCTGCGTCCCGGCGCTCGGCTTTCCCTGCCGGTCCCGCCCTCCGTCGCGGCGGCGCGGTGCACCTTGGGATAGGGAGCGATCTCCGAGCGAGGCAGCAAGATGGACGCGGGATTCTTCCGCGTAAGTAGAAGCGCGGGGATCTGGGGTGAGGTGAGGGACTTATCGGGAAGGCCCGGCAGGAAAATTAAGCTCGAGGCGAGGTGGCCAACAGAGAGGCTTCAAAGATCTGAGGATCCGCGGTGGTAGCGGACGCTCCCCCCTACCCTGCAGCGGAGACCGGTGCGCCCCTGCGCAGTCTCCTCCTCCGGGATCGTTCTCCGTACACGGCGGCGACGGTCGCCGGAAAATGGCGGCGGGAATGGGGCGGATTGGTACCTCGCCGCCAGCCTGTTTGGCGGGGCCTGCAAGCTGAGCCACGCGCGCCGCTGGGTCTTGGGGCCTAGTGGAGCCGCGAGGAGAAAGTCTCTGGGGAAAGGTCGGAGGGAAGCCCTGAGGTGACTGGCGGCTGGAGGCTCCTGGAGAGTAGGGTTTGGGGGGTACTGCCTCAGGAGAGCGTTAGAGAACAGGAAACAGCCTTAAGCAGCTGCTCTGCTGAAAGCGGGAGCCGACCCCCCATCCCCCAGTTCCTAAGCCTTCGCGAAAGCGCCGGGTCAGAGTTCGCAGGAGCTCCCGCCCAATTTGATATCCCTTCAGGGAGGGAAAGTCAGGTAATATGTTGTTAGGACGTTAGAATCTGAGGCTCTCGAGGGCAGAGGGTGCAACAAAAAGTATGCGCGTGTGTGGAGGGAGGCAGGGGCATGGGGTGAATCAACTCCTCTTTTTCCCGCTCGTTCTCCCCCCGTTTGTTTGTCTCTTTTGAAGTCCGCTTTTGAAAAGGTGCCTCTTAGCTAGGTTCTCCCGGGGCTGCGTACCCATCACCTGCAGGCGGGCAAGTTACCTCGCCGTAGAGGGTCCTCAAGGCCCAGCAACTTGATCAGGCTGCTACTGGACCCTGTTAGTCCCCATATTTCACTCCTGTAGGAAATGAGCACCCAGTTGAGATCTAGATGGATGGGGAAGTGACTCTAATAGGATTAGAGTTTGCAAATTCTTTTAATGCGGAAAGGACCGTATAGAGATCGGTTGGACTGAGTCAAAATCTGCACTTGATGTAATGTAGGTTAGCTCTTTCCACTCCCTGGAGCATGTAATATGCATGTCGTATGTGTGTTTTTAAAGGAAAAGTTGGAAGAGGGGGAAGACGGGTTGTTTATTAAGATATAAGAAACTCTTGGAGGGCCGGCNAAAAAAAAAAAGATCCAACAGGGAAAACTAGCAAAGGGACATGAATTATCCTAAGAGCCTAAAGCAGAAGAGGCTAGCTTTAGGAATCAGCTCTCGGGGCCTGAGTGGAAAATCAAAATTGTTTCCAAAAGTAAGTTTCCCTATCAGAATTTCTTGAGGCTGTTTACTTAAAGTGCAGATTCCCACATTCTACAGAGATCACAATTCTGGGTGCAGGGCCTGAGAATCTGCATTTTAGAAATCTGGATCCCCAGACTCACCATCTTGAGGAACTTGGGATGAAGCAGGAAGAACTGCCGAGGTGTGTGGGGGGAGTTAGTGTGCAAAGGCTTGATGTGTTCTACCTCTGAAAGTCTCTTAAATGTTCAGGGGAAATGAAAAGTCAGCCTCAAGGGAAGAATAACAGCTCCTGGGTGTCAGAGCTGCAGAGTGTCTAAGATGTACAGTGAATTGTTTCACATCTGCTTGATGGCTTTAACATAAGAAACAGAAACAGCTGCCCACGCCCGGCTGGATGGCTTAATGGTTAGAGTGTGCACTCTTAGCAACAAGGTTGCCAGTTTGAATCCAGCATGGGATGCAACTAAGATTGAACACAGCACCTTGAGCTGAGCAGCTGCCGATTGGTGGCCAGATGGCAGCTGGACTTGGAGCTGAGTTAGCTGCGCCCTCCACAACTAAGATTGAAGGACAACAACTTGGCTGTTCCCTTCCCCAATTCCCCAACACTGTTCCCCTTCACCAATTCCCCAATAAAATCTTAAGAAAAAGAAAGAAAGGAAGAAATGGAAACAGACCAGAGATAGACTTTAAAAATTTTTTATGTTTTTAATAATAGGAGTATTTAACACAACAAAAGATTATCCAATATAAATATCTAATCTACCTATTCTAGACTAACATTTCCATTAATGCATACTACATTTACATACTTCTTTGGGGTGGGGTTGAAGGCCACAGTGTCTTAATCTCTAGGTGGGTGCCTGTGATGGTCCACTAGATGCCTTGTGGGTGTGGAAGCTCCTCATTCTTTCCAGCTGCTGCCTGGGTATTAGGACAGTAGAGGAATGACAGGCACCCCTGCTGCGGGAACAGGTGTCATGGAGCTATGAGAGCTCAGCTTTCTTATTCTCTGTAGTATAAAGTAAGCCCCTCCCCTTTTCTGTGAATGGTTTCCCTAAGGGTGGTGCTATTCACACCCTTACTATAGATGATTGGCTACATGCAATTAGTGGACCCTACCTAGTATGTTGGTTCTAGATATGATTAGTGCACATGCTGGCTCTACCACCGCCACTCATCAGGTTGTAGGTCTGACCCATAAGTTAGACAATCTGAACTTGTTGATAAGATGTGGTGACTCTCTCTGGGATGTAAGCAACCCTCATGGGCTAGAACTGGGATTTTTAGTCGTAATTCATATATTCATACATTCTACACCTGGCCTAAGGGTCTTTATCTATTGCCCATAAGTTCCTGGACCACAATCCCTCAGTAATTCCACAAGACCAAACGGGAAGGTGTGTGATCCAAATTCATATTCGCTGATTGGGTCCCTGTGTCTGGTCTCTAGCCAGCCCTACATATACCAGACAACGTGATAAGGACCTTGCCCAGCTAGGGAATTCGGGCGTGGGGGGTAAATAGCAAAAAGAAAGACCACTGAAAGCAACAAGAATTGTTGCTCATTTTAAACGAAGTCAAGAATTATTTGAATCAGGGACCACTTATGGCCACCACTGCCAGATGGTCCTGCGCCTGAAGGTGAAAAAAATTGACTCAGGCCTTTCTGTTTCCCTTCTTCTTACCTGGGTTTGGGCACAGACCGGGTGGCATTCGCTAACCGGAAACCTTGTTTACTCATTCACCAGTAGGATAAGATATGTCTACATTGCCTCCTCCAGCCATTTGCTTACCACCCACTGAATGTCAAGCCATTTGTAATGCTGTGGCCATTTGTAATGCTGTGGTCTCAACCCTCAGCAAATGGCCCAAACCCTGAAAGTGAATTCTGTTGTCTGCTAGCTGTGTGGTTTTTAGGCAACTAACTTCTCCTTCCTGGACCTCACTTTACTCATCTCTAAAATGGCGATAACACCTATGTATTCATTTGCAAGGGCTGCTGTAACAGAGTACCACAGACGGGGTGATTTAAACCATAGAAATTTATTTTCTCACAGTTCTGGAGGCTTGAAGTCTGAAATGAAGGTGTTGGCTGGGTTGGTTTTTTCTGAAGCCTTTCTCCTTGGTTTGTAGATGGCTGTCTTTTCCCTGTATCTTCACATGGTTCCCTTTGTGTGTGTCTGTGTCCTAATTCCCTCCTATAAGGACACTAGTCATATTGGATTAGGGCCTAACTAATGACCTCATTTTAATTTAATTATCTCTTTAAAGGCCATATCTTGAAATACAGTTACATTATGAGGTAGGTACTGGAGGTTAAGATTTCAGCATATGAATTTGGGGCTGGGGAGTGGGGCGGGGAGACACAATTCAGCTCATCACAGCGCGCATTCGGTATTATGGTGAGGATTGAATTATCTAATATGTTTAAAGCATTAACATAAAGCCTGACACAATATGCCCCTCCAAATGATAAATGCTATTATTATGAGATCCTACATAAACGAGACTGTCATCTAAACACAAGAGTCCACAGACAGGAAAAGGGCACTCTCCCAATTATGGTTCTTCATTCCTCATCTGGTGGGCATGACTCTTGTCCAGCCCTTGTTCTATAAATATGCCAACACGACGCCTGAACATCTGTGGGGGACTTTCTATGGAATGGAAAGTGAAGCAGACAGTTACGTTTTTCTTTCACGCCCCTCGCTATTATCTTTCTGGCTATGTTTTATAAGTTCCCTGAGAACTGTCTTAAACTTCCTTTGTCTATCTTACTATACCTAAAAACACCATGCTGAGCACAACAGTAAGGGCTCAGTAAAAATAAACAACCAATCGAACCACAGGTTCTTGTGATGGTTTACTTATTTCTAGTAACCAAGTCCTGGCCAATGAAAGAGGTATGTTATCCTGAGAAGGTAGAGCGCCATCTAGTGACTTTTGTTATTAGACCAGTAAAGTAAGCGATTCAGAAAATCCTAGATTGCTACTTGTGCCTTATGTATTTGATATTTATATATGGGAAAACAACTAGAAATATTATATTTTGACAGCTTGACATATTCATGATAAATTCAACTCAGCTTTTATTTTCCTTTATTCCCAAGTGATTTCTGGCCTTTATATAGTTAACCTCATAGTGAATCTGATTATTTATAGAACAGAAAAATAGTAAATAAGAGTCATGCAATTATAATTGACAATGGAATAAATATGAAGGTCATGAGAAATTCAAGAATTATAAAGCATCTATTTAGTATAAAAAATGTGAAGAATGGTGATTGCAGAAACACTAATTATTTCAGTACAATAATACCAGACTTAATTTTACTACTAAAACTTTTTTAATAATAAAATTGTAGTTATACTCATACTTGTTAAATTTCATGCTTTCTTTTTTTTTTTTAAGATTTTTATTGGGGAATTGGGAAGATGGGAACAGCGCTGGGGAACTGGGGAAAGGGGAACAGGCAAGTTGCTGTTGTTTTGTTCCTCAATCTAGCCGTGGAGGACGTTGCCCCACTGGCCCAAGTTGGCACCATCATTGCGCTTCCCCCTTGCGAGGCAGATCAGTCGCCGGCTTGTAGACAGCTGCTCACTGCGGCTGCTGGCCGCTCACGCTGGCTGCTGGCTACACATGGCAGCCCACGGCAACCCACTGCCACAGGGGCTGCAGCCTATGCTGTCCCTGGAGACTCACAGCAGCCCAG